TTATGTTTATAAAGATAAAGGGGTTTGCAAGAACAAATTTGGATGCCCTTTTTGACGATTCTTGCGGACGAAGTCGCTGACACAGCTGTACTTAATAAAATTTATGTGACGATTATGTATTTAATTAAAGGCATGCACAAAGTTGCTATGATATTAAATATAAAGTATATGAAAGTAAACTTGAATGCGTGAAATTAATAAAAAAATAAGTTTACTAGAAATGTAACTTGTTTACTTTACATAAAAATGGCAAAGTAACGCTTAGTCACGCTCAGCATGCGTTATCGATTAATATCTTTACTATCGGACACGCCGTTCAATAATGCAATGTTGGTGCAATAGCAGCATGTGTGGCTGAGAAAGCGGTTCTAGGTTCAATCCATAACGGCTCCGGCATGTAATATAATCTATTTATTGTTTTTGTCGGAAAATTAGAATATTAAACGGTTGATAGAAATCGATAGATAGAATAGCTCTAAAGTGTTCGTTTTGGTTTGTCTGTGGATTTCGTAATGTCTAAAGCCGCAATAGGTCGTGTCTTGCATCCATGTAGCGAACAGCATGCTTGTCTGTCATAAAATAAAAAACATAGTACAAAATTCTTGCAACATACCGTTAAAAGTGTTCTTTTATGACTCAGTAGCATAAATACAATTAAATGCAGATAAAAACTGGTCAAATCCAATTAGAGTAGTCTGCCACAAATCTTCATACGCCCTTATCGACCATAACTTGTAGACCTAGCCCGTCCCTCCACGTACAACGCGACGCCGGTTCAACCAACGGTTGTCGTTCAGCCAGGTGTAACGATTTTTTTTAAACAGCTGTTCGTTGCTGGGGTTAGTTACCTCGGTGTATGCAGTTTTATAGCTGATATGGAATGGGAGTCATAAAGATTGGTCTGGTGGAGAATTTTTCTCAAAATACATATTAAAATGCTATTGAATGAAAGAAAACATTATTTATTTTAAATTAAAGTTGAAAATTCAAATTAAAGTTGACTAAAAATTATACTCTATTCGAATTTCAAACTGTTTTTAATAGGCGCTACTGTAGGCATAGTAACCTTCCTACAACATATGTATGTATTTGTATGATAAATTGACAAGGACAAATTTAATTTCGTTATGCCAAAGTTCATTTATTAAATAAGTTTATAATTACTTTAAACAATTTAAATTATTGTAAAAAAAGTAAAAGGCAAACTCTTTTATGTTTCTTGAATGAAATAAACACTTTTAACTGTTTAAAACGCAACATATATTAATTAAAACCGTTAAAAGTTTTTGAATTATGTACTACTCAATTACAGACAATACTTAAATTCTCAACGAAATAAATTTCGTGAGAACTCCAAATGGAAGTTAGAAAGTTCAACCTCCCGAAATCCTGGGCCTAAAAGGTCAAATACTCTCTCTATTTGAGGGTCGTGTGCGGTCGGTCGTTCATCTTCGCAAGGTCGTCTAGGCCTTGCGCAAAATATATTATGTTCCGCTTATTTTTGTGCAGTCTGTGCTAGTTAAAATAAAAACGTATAATATCAAGTTACTTTTTATTTATTTATACGTTGAGAAACAAAACTTAATGTTAATTTTAAATTCCATAAAAAGAAGCTAATGCCTTATTTAAACTTATTTAAAATTGTGGCGCGTTCATCAATCGTTCAACCTTGAAAACATAATTAACTTGATGGGTTTATTTGGCGCAATGGTGGCAATGAGTGGCAAATAATCAACGGGTCGTGAGTACGATACCGGATCCACTTTTTCTAATCATTTAAATAAAACACTTTTACGGTTTAAAACGCGATATATTAGTTAAACTTATTTAAAACTGATTTTTAACTTCGGCCGACGTTTCGGATGCTTTGCAGCAGCCGTGGTCACGGGGAGACTAAAGATGGAGGATGTCTCTGACGTCAAAGTTTAACTAATATATCGCGTTTTAAACCGTTAAAGTGTTTTATTTAAATGTGTACTACTTGCGTAAACTACAGACAGTATTTTACTTTTTCTAATCAATTTATAATTTTTTTGAAACGTGTTTGTTCGCGTCACGAACCACCGTTCAAAGATAAAAAAGTCTAAATAATAAACGTATTTATTAATTATGTTTTCTATTTCATAAGATTAACAACAATTTACACAATGCGTGTGCGTAGCAGTTGTTTTAAACGTTGAACCGATACAGTGCCTATCTATACATATATAGTGTTTCAACTCATTGTGAAGTGTCAATGCACTACATAAAGCAATTTGCATATTATCGCGACACTAATTCGTCTCTTCATTGCTTATATGCGGCTTATTTCCAATCCTTAACCTTACAATCCCATTTTGTAGAGCGATTATTCCGTTTACCAGTTATAAGTTATCCCCAACCGTCTTTCTATCCTTATAATTGCACCTGGTGTTGAGATTCCATCATGACCTCTCTAGTTTTATATAGTTTTCGTGTAAATTTTGTAATTTTATCTTTATTTCTTACGCTAACGTATATAGGATGTTGAACTTTAATGCTTTAGTTTTAAGGTTAAAATAATATTGGGTGTGATGTCCAAAACCGTGTCATTGTTTTTATTTTAAACTAGCTGTGCTCGCGACTTGTCCGCTAAGAATATTCATTTTGGTCAACCAAATTCGTTCTTTATAAACTTAAACTGTCACCCACGACGTCGGTCGCGTCCCGTCGCGTCGTTCTTACAAGTTAATCTTAGAAGATTGACATATATAGCGTCGCAGACTTTTTTTAGATGATTTAAAACGGGAATCATTCTTTCCTACATATTTTTTGGATATCTGGAACCGTTTTCGCAGCGTACGCATCGGAAAAACACAGAGATGAATATTTTCCCCCGTTTTGTTCACATTTCCCGCTGTATTTTCGCTCCTATTAGTCACAGCGCGATGTTTTATAGCCGATAGCCTGCCACGATAAATGTTCTAGCTAACACAAAAAGATTTCAATTCGAACCAGTAGTTCCTGAGATTAGCGCGTTCAAACAAACAAAAAAACTCTTCAGCTTTATATATTAGTATAGATTCAACTAAATTAACTAAGTAGCTTAACTTAAATTAGTAAAAATTTCAATATGTCATTTGTGTGTTGAACACGGGAGATATTTGTACTGTACATTAATTCCATCTTCCGTTCGATCAAAATTGCAATACGTGCTGTCGGGATTCGAACCTGGCACTCTCTATGGAGTCGTGCAATATTATTATACTAATGATGTAATAATGTAGCACAATACATCTCTAAACATTTATCTACTTAGCCATATTGGGGTTTGAGCACCTTTCGTTAAAAATTCAATTTCCGTTCTTCTTTTTCACCAAGGACGGTCATCGAACCACCGTCAATGAACTACGAATAACACTGTATCAACGAACCTTAGAGTTCCTATTAGCTATGAAGCAAAACGTCTTCACTTGTGGAAGTGTAGTAGTGAAATCCTGTTTCCACCTTTGGGGCTTGGGGCGAACACCGTGCCCAGCCTAACCGAATTTGTTTAATTCAAACCTCTTATGCTTAATGAATGACAAGTACAATCTATATATAGGTATCTTCTATAAAACAATATAACTTCATATATATCGACTGCCTTTATGTTTTTTAATGGTAAATTGCGTAGTATCGTGGTGTTAACATCGAGAGATTTTGGGTTTGAATTTCGGGGAAACAATAAGCGGTGAATGAAAAAGACACAAAAATGTATCCGTCCCATAATTCACATGAGATACAAAATGGTGTCGTCACTTCCACAAATCGCTGCTACGACGCAAGTAGTTTCGGCAACTGCGAATAATATTAGTCATGTTTGTTTTTTAAGAATCAGTTCATCGTACCTTCTTAGAGCGGTTTCGTAAATAAACATTGATTCGTGAACGAATTGTAATGAATTTCTTTGTTATTTTGAAAGAACGAAAGATAGGTTGCGAATTCGATTCTTTGGAATTAATAATAAATTGTTTCGTTTGAATAGGACAAAGAAGTATGATCTACGCCTAAGTAGGTCACCAATTATTATACAGGAACAAAGTTTATTAAAACGATATGACTGAAGAATTAGAAATATATTTTTTTTATGATAGAGGAGGACAGATAAACAAAAAAATGGAGTTCGCTTAATGTTAGGTGAAACATCCAATATATCGCGGTTTAAACCGTTAAAGTGTTTTATTTAAAAGATATTGTTATTTAAATTAATAGACCTAAGAATAGAGTGTTCCTCGTAAAACTATTGTTATCTGCCTTGATAAAGAGACAAAAACGTCCGCATATGAAACCGGATAGGTTTTAAAATATTTGCTTAATCGCGGCCGGTTTTATCCCGGTCGCGCCGGATGCGCCGCGAAACAGCTGTGAGGTTGACGATTGTCTAACCGATATGTTATATTACCGCTGCCCGCCCATATATCAATGCTTAGATTCTTCTCCGAACTATGACTTCAGACCTTTAATGCAATAAATGGGACTTGCGTATTGTTCCTTACAAATATCGACGAGATACTATACAACGGGGGGCAGGGGTCTCCTCTCTGAAAGTTAGCCTTTTTAAAGTGTTATTGTATTTTTTAATTTTACTGAAATTTCATGGTTTTTATCTCACCCCACAACCCAGAAAGGTTCTATTTGAAAAGTGATATTTACTAACATTTAAATCTTTTAGTGTCATAAAATATTCTCAAACCTTTTTATAAGAGCACATCTCTCGATTACATAACGACTTTATATTTATATTTTAATAAACAGGAAAATAATTGACTATTGTTATCTTTACTAATTAATTCAAACATTAAAATATGCGATGGGGAAATTAACTTTTAGTATTTAACTAAGTTTAATATTACTGCCAAGGATAAAATTGTGAAACTCCTAAATCGTGTGTTCTCCTATCGTTGCAATTCTTAGGTTTGTCTTGATGCTCAATACTCAATTCGTCAATTTAAGACTGCGTAATTTCGCTACATTGAAATTTCACTTTTCCTTTGTTTCAGCCTACGGCAAAGTGTTCTTAGTTAAGAAGAGATGTGGAGTCGACGAAGGCAAGTTGTACGCGATGAAGTTGCTCAAGAAGGCATCCATTGTACAAAAACTAAAGACTGCAGAGCACACGAGGACCGAACGACAGGTATTATATAGTTATAGCCTAATACCAATCTCGACTGCCTCTGGTTTGATAATTAAAAGAGTTACTTGGCATATGTGTGACTCGACGGGTCGTGGATTTGATCCCCACTCGGTCCAACAAGCCTCTAATCAATTTATAATGTTCCTGTAACATGTTGGTAGCTGAAATATTGAAAATTTCGTCCAGGTCACGAACCACCGTTCACAAATGACAGAGCCGTGAGGTTTAATCGTATTTCGGTTGCATTCTGTGGATCCCGAAACATTTAAAGCCAAACATAGATCGACAGTACATCTTGTTATGATGTAATATGGATGGAGTGTTTCACCAACCATCAAGTGATGCTTGTCAGTGTTCCTCTATCAAATAAAGACAAAAACACTTTCGATCCGGCAACACACTGGAGCCATTCCCATTAGATACTCAAACATGTCTCCCTTATGGTATAAATGTTCCTTCCACCTTTTTTTTAACATGACCAACGAAGTCATTGTCCCAATTTTTCGTTGATCCTGCAGGAACATGTAGATTATTGAAAGTAATATATTTTTCCAAGGGTACCAAATTTGGTGGATGGGCGTTCTGGTCATTGAGACCATATCCCTATATCTTGCGGCTTTCTTCCGTCCCACTTACAATTAACGGTCTCTGATATAATCTTTACAATGTTTACTTTACATAAGCGAGGACGAACACGAGCGCCAAGTATTACGTGTTGTGGTTCTGTCATCCAATTAACAGCAGCGGGTAATCTTCACTGTGTCAACATTAATCCCTTTTACTTCCGATACTTGGTGTTCTAATTAGTGAAAGCTGCTTCATTTTCTATGCTTTAGCTCTAAGAAGTAAAAATTGAAATAGGTCCACTTATGTACCCCAGAATATACAACGACAAGCTTTATGTAGCTGTGACAGCAACTACGTCCGCGAAGAATTAACCACCTCTTCTCTTCCTTCTTTACAAATTTAACCTATTGCCCACGATGTCGGTCGCGTCCCGTCGATCTTGCAAGTCAATCGTAAAAGATCGCGGACATTTTTTAGATCGAATCGAAAGAGGAATCATTCCTTCGTACATACTTTTTGGGTATCTTGAACCGCAGCAAATCCACTGAGATGAAAAGTTTCCCTCGTTTTTTCCCACATTTTCCGCTGCTTCTACGCTCCTATTAGTTACAGCGGGATGTTTTATAGCCTTCCTCGATAAATGTTCTAAGTATCACAAACTTTTTAAATTCAAATAATTTTAGAATAGATTTAAATAAACTTAGTAATGTAGGAAATCTGTTTGACAGGTCTTGGAGGCTGTGAGGGCGTGCCCCTTCCTCGTCACGTTGCATTACGCGTTCCAGACTGATACCAAACTACATCTTATATTAGGTAAGTTATATATAAGTAACGTTTAATGTCGTAGTTGATATTTGCGAAACGACGGAACAGATGGCGCTAGCGCAGCAGTCTTTACTTTGACATTAGAGATAACTTTCATCTTGAGTCTTCCCGTCGCCACAGCCGCCGCAAAGCCTACCAACCGTCGAGCCGTAGTTAAAAATAATTTGTAAGCAAGTTTAACTAATATAATTCGCATTTTAAACAGTTAAAGTACTTAAGTAACGTTGTCATCTATGATAAGCGTTCTTGTCTTTTTCACTGTATATATTTGTAGTTACAGGTAAGTAAGTAAAGTATGTTGAGACTTATCGTGAACGTATTCAAAATGTAGTAAGTCGGACAATATCAATAGCATGATTAATAGGTTCGATTCTAGTGCATGTAACCGGGTCAAGGAGAGATCACTTACGCAAGCCGCGGGTGGTAATCACACATTTAGTTTTCTTTCTGTTACACGGTTTTGTGTGCACTTTCCATTATACGATATTATGGAAAAAAGGTCAAGTGCGAGTCGAATTTGCGCAAGAAAAGATCCTTATAAGAAAGTTACTATTTGCGTTTAACAAGATCCGAGGATACATCGCGGTGATAGGACATTTGTAGTCTTTTAACTCTTTATGAACCCGAAAAATGATGTTGAAAACCACTTTACCGGTTTAAAACGCGAAATATATTATTTGGTTTTACTTATTCTAACTAAGATATATGGCGTTAAAGTGTTTTGTTTAAATGTGCACTGCTCGCGTTGACTACAGGCAGTATTGAAATGTTTTTATTTATTTTTTATTTTTTGTACAGAAATGAAATTCGTTCATGCAAGAAAAACCTCAATTACTTTCAAATGTAGGCCAATACACTGTTGACATATACACGCACAATCTGTTTCCTTTGATATAACGGTGAGGCAAAGTCTAAGCTATAAATTTTCATTTTGTGACTTACTCTTTCTTGCTTAATCTTCTTAATTTAATGGATGAAAACTCACACGGACGAGTCTGGGGTCAACAGCTAGTTTCTTTTGAAAGCCTTACTCCTTAACCTTTACTTGCATGCGGCATTTTAATTTGTCACAAAATTAAATTTCGGTATTAAAAACGATGTATTTTTAAAGTGTAAATAAATATAATGATAAGCGTTTCACAGTTTTCCCACTGCGGTGTGGCGATATAATGCGGTCAATTCTTTTTGTTATAACTGCTAAATTTAATTTAACCTAGTAAGTAAATTATTGTGAAATGCAACTACTATATAACTATCAATAACATAGATTTTACCTAATGTGGCCTAGAGACATATCGAAACAAATAAGGTAGATTAGATTCATCGAAAGACAGAACTGTTTCTCAAACTAACAACTGTTTCTTTTTTAGTTTGTACACATAAAAAGAGAAATCTCGGTTACACTTTTAACGGTTTAAAACACGAAATGTATTAATAAACTTATTTTGACTTTTCCGACGTTTTGGGTGCTTTAACTAATTGTTTTATTAAAATGTATACTTGTGGCGTAAACAGGCTGAGATGCGACTTTCGGATTTGGAGAATCGGGAGCGCGTAAAGCAACGCTAGCCTGGTCCTGTTTTTTCCATAGCCTCTAAATGATCTAAATTAAACATACTATACTTAAGAACCGTTCCAACAATAAGATCCAACGCAATACCACTAGGCCAAGGCAAAGCGCGATGTGGGTCGCCGATTTTGCCACGCGTTGCTTAATCACGCGGTTTTTCGTATTAAATAAATATTTAACTTTCATAACAGTTCCGTACAGAGGGGTAATGGGGAACCATGCGACGGGGAATTCTTTCTTTTTAAAGGAAGAAAGTACTCGACTTGCGCATCACCACTGAAGAGTAGCGGTGCTGTGCCGGTTTTACGTCTCTCTCCTCCTCCCCCCCCCACCCCCAAAATTTATATATTTTGCTCCTATTTAATTAAAGCGCTGTCTATATGTAGATCTAGATATGACTAGACACGGGGAGACGGTTAAATAAAACACTTTACCGGTTTAAAACGCGATATATATAATAGTTAAACTTGTTTGACAATTATTTTTAACTACGGGCCAGCGTTACGGATGCTTTGCAGCAGCCGTTAAAAACCGATTTTCAAACGAGTTTAACTAAAATCGTGTTTTAAACTGGTAAAGTGTTTTATTGAAATGTGTACAATTCGCGTAAACCACAGACAGTATCAATTGGTATATTGGTCTTAGGAAAATATTTTTTTCTGTATATAAATTGATGAAAAATTAATTATTCATGAACAATGTGACTTACTTTAATTTAGGTTAGTCATTATTTAATGTATATGTTTTAAGTAGTTTGGTGGTTTTATTAATATCTCATTATTCTTATTCGGAATGACTACTAAGGCAATTAATAAACAATAGGCCAAGGCCTATTAGGCCTAATATTTTTTGCAATAAGTCTTTTTTTCATTACATTATGTCAAATCACTAATTCTATTCCAATTGTAACCTGTTTAATAAGTGTAATGAGGTCTATTTAAAATAATATTTTAAGTGATAGAATTTAATGCCAAAACTAAAAATAGTGTCGGTTGGTTGCTTACGATCATATTTTTAAATCGGTTTGGTCTGCTGCGACGAACAAATGCAAAGCAGTGACTCAAAATCGAGGTTTAGTATAAATACTCTATTTCCCAATTCCCACAAACAACAAACAAAAAATACTTTACTTTCACCACAATGTTACAAAATAAACTTGATTAAAAATTAACAAAAAGTAGCGAGAAAAGGCGGCCTTATCGCTAAAAAGCGATTTCTTCCAGGCAACCTTGAAAATGTAGATTTAAAATAATACATGATAATAAATAAGGGTAACACTACAGCTATAATAAGTTTATACAACACTAAGTATGTTTTTAAAGTTTGACTTAATAATTAAAATAATTTACCTAATCAAATTCCCCTAGTTACCATCTCATTTACCAGTGTAGAAACTCCTTATCACCTTTTAAACATCAGAAATCCTATAATTCGTACTACAAACATCCTCTTTTTTGAAAAAAATAAAAACAATATAGACCGTTCCGTAATATCCTAATGTACACACAATGAGCGGACTGTGGGCTTTTTTCAAGTCGCCACGTATTGTTCATGGCGGTGCACGTGCGCGTGGAATATTCGGATTCAATGCATAGGAGGTAGCGATTTTTGTCTCCTCTCATTTATTTGTAGATTAACTACTATCAAAATAGAAAAAGTAACATGCGAGGGGGCTAGCAGAAATTGTAGCCTTTGAATCCCGACGCTAGGACGCTGGCACATTTAAAACTAAAGGATTTTTCTACCACATTCGGTAAATACATGCTAGAAGTTAAACTTGATGTTGAATTTAAAATAAAACCGCCATGCGACATTTATCTTTAAATAGAAAAACATAAGTAATAAAATAGATGTATCTGGAGAGACACCACTCAGCTTTTGTTGTATCTGGTAGTAGGCACAACGCCGATTCAGTGATGCCCCACGCTTGACATTTGAAGTAGAACAGTACATAAACCTAAATATAATACAAACCTTTAACAAAGACATGAAATAGAAAAAACATTTAAAACGAAAACCATAATTGTAGTAGGTGGGTTAGAGTAGGTACAATCGGGATCTAATTTCTGATCTCACTCATTACCAGATCTACACGGCTCCACTGTTCGTTAAATCGCTCAGAGCGTATGATTTACGACATAGCTTTATTTGCTAGAAGCTGATAGGTTGTGTAATGGTTGTAGGGGAACGGAAACATTGAACTGTATTGTTTTACACTCTTAAAACCCCTTGATATACAATTACACTTTGTATACATAAAGACAAAATTATTTTCCGTTTAATTTTGAAGTATTTAAAACCTTTTAAAGAGAATTTGAAATGATGTACTACAACGTACAACGTTCACATACAATTTTTAATTTGTTCGTTACACGTATCGTGAGACAGACTGCAGTTAATATAAATTAAAAACAAGTTAACTAATACATTACGCGTTTTAAACCGTTACATATTTTTATTTAACTTGTACTACTCGCTAACTACAATACTTATTCTTCAAATTCATTTTACATGGCGCAGACGAGACGCGTCCCTGACCTAGGATTTTAATGTTTAATTCATAAACGTTTCAGTTTACGGGTTATATGAAAACTGTTTTACATTACCTCGGTTAGCGTAGTCCTGGGGCTCGTAAAGATGTTATTAATTTGAAACTGAAAGCTCAATTTCATATTACCAACGATGTTAGGCCTCATATATAAACATCGCATTTTGATTCGTGGTGAGAGAGATCATTGGTTGCCTATCGTCAGAAAAACTATATGCAAGCATGGGCTTCCCCCCCCATCCCAATCACCCAGCCATATAACACCTTGGCAAGACGTATCTGTCGACCTATTTTGGCTTTGGATATTCGGAAATCCACAGACTGAAACCGAAACGCGATCAGACTCCACGGTTTGTGACCAGTGCGGAATTTCGATATTCCTACCACCCGTTTTATATCCAGATTTTCCGGAAGTCAAATGTTTCAAAAAAGGAAATAACTGTAAATGGAAAATATGTTACGTTATTCTTTAGTCTCTAGTTATATGTACTTGTAAGACCAAAGTGCATATTAATCGCAGCTGTGACAAGGGCAATGTAAAAATTAACGAAGTTACCCAATCGCAAAAATAATTACAAGTTTTCCTTCCGCAATTTCAGTTCCTATCTCCTTTAAATGTCGAGATGTCAAAAACTTTCTAAAACCACTCAGCGGGCGCGGTGTTCATTTCGTTTTACTTTTATTTCTTCTCTTTGGATCTAGGTCAATCGTTTAGACGCTACGAACCTAGATTATCGACTAACCAGATGGCGTGAGGCGACATGTATACATATTATAATATCTATTATTATTTGATGTCGTATTTGGGCAGGAATGTCGGTGAAAGTTATACGTATTATGCATTATTACATTGTACGTTGATGCAAAACGTGGCTAGCTTGGCAATGTATGTCCTAAAATGAACAATTACTTTTATAACAAATAATTGAAAATCATGCAAAATCATTTGATTACCATAAAAACGGCTCTTGCGGGTTGATCTTAAAAGATAGACATATACTCTCGCGCACATATTTTAGATCATTTAAAGGGGCATCATACTTTCATCTATTTTTTTTGTTCCTGGAACTGTTTGATGAATATTTTTTTCCGTCTTCTTTCTAATTCTCCACTGTTTTTTCGTTCCTACTGGTAGCAACCTGATGTTTTTATAGCCTTCTTTGATAGATGGTTTATCCAACACAAGTTATTTATCAGTTCGAATTAGTAGTTCCTGAGATTAGCACGTTCAAACATACAAACTACTCAGTATTATACTTTTCACACATATTCAGGCAGAACTAGAATCAATAGTTATTGAAATTACTGGCTTGCGGTTGGTGTTTAAGTAAGTTGCCAATTGCGTAAATATTAAAAGGAATTTTCCATATTGTTTCAGATTATGTCGCGGGTGGTGAACTCTTCACCCACCTATACCAGAGGGAACATTTTAACGAAGACGAAGTTAGGATATATATAGCCGAAATCATATTAGCCTTAGAACAATTACATAAGGTGGGTAGTTTTCATTATTTTAAAATGTTTTGTGATATAACATAAAATAACAAAATAGGATGTTTTTAAGTCAATCGTATGTGCTTTGCTATATATATAAATTTTATTTTCAGTTATTTTTTTTGTTTTATGTATATCAAAAAATTTTATTGTATTTCAGCTCGGAATTATTTACCGCGACATCAAACTTGAAAATATACTACTCGATGCGGAAGGCCACATAGTTCTCACGGATTTCGGCCTTTCGAAAGAGTTTTGTGGTGGTGAAAACCGCGCGTACAGCTTCTGCGGAACCATTGAATATATGGCGCCGGAGGTGGTCCGGTGCGGAAGTCAAGGGCATGATATTGTAAGTACTTATAATTAGTCTTTTATTCCAAAGGTTTGTCAAGGCATCGATGGACGAGCGTGTGGAAGTTCACTTATGCCTAGTTAGTAGTAGCCAAATAATATATTACAACTAAGTAGTACAATAACAGTAGTTTTTTACAAGCTGAAGTATTTTTTTTTCACTTAACTGCATTTAATGTTTAAGCCAGTTCGAAATTTAAATAAAACCTTTGATAAGTTACCTCTTTGGTTGCCATGGCAGAGTAAAATATCGTTCTATTTTTAAATTTTATTTATTTGGCCGCTAAACACGACATATATGGATTTTCATACAACTATTGCCCGCTGCTACCCGCAAACAGCAACATCATTCCAAAAATATGTTTCTTATATTTAATATTTTCATTACACGAATACATAAAATGTCATTTCTTTCGTCTTTAATATTTTATTGATATGATAACTGGTACCTAGCCGATGTTTGTTGAACAAAGAGTGAATTCAAGCTATACTGAATTGAATAAACATAAAAGAAACAGCATAATTCTATTATCGTACTAACAAAGGTATTGTAATCAATAAACCTTCACGGTGCATGAATTAGATTTTATAATATCGTGAATAACTTGAAAACCACATTATGAGACATTTAATTATTGTTTCCTGGCCTTAATGGGGGTTAGGGAATATTTTTAATGACGAGAAATGTCGGTATATTTAAGATACGAAGTCGGAGTAATTTAATATGTACAGTATTGTCTTAATAATAAAAGCAGGTCACCGTGAAAATAACAAGCCGTGAGGCTTTACGACTTGTTTAAATATACAGGGGAATGCCCAATCTCCATAATACCCCAGGCTACGGATGCAAATCAAAGGCCCGGTTGCATTAACCGGGGTTTTCCGGTTCCAAATTGTCAAAAACGTTGTCTTTAATTCGAGAGATCGTAGATTCGAATCCCGGGCAACACGAATAATTATGTTTTGGGTGCAGTAATCTGATCACATCAGACGCAAAAATGTGTCTGCCCCCTGGTCCCGGTTATTGGGGAAAATGAAATATTACTTTTTTTGATACAAATGGCTTTTCACTATTGCTTTACTTTTTTTAACTTAATAAGATCTTTAGTACATCTTGAACTGTTAACGACGTTTGTAAGTTTATCTGTTTATTTTTTCCTCTGTTTGTGTCTTCTTCTTCTTCTTCTTAATAGCTAATTTGCTCTGGTATTGGTAATCGAGTGTTATTGTTAATTCTCCATCGTAACGCGATAATAAAAAGCGGACTTCAACGAGCCGTTACAATTTAAATAACTATTGAGCACTTTCACCGCAGAGTTCCACTGATTGAGCCAACAGCTGAGCTCCGATGTTACGCGAAAGTTACTACTTGCTGCTACATTGGCAATGTGTGATCTGTGCTATACTTACTGGAGAACAGCTCGCATACGAGTGGTACCAAAATGGAAACATGATATCCGTCTCCCCCCTCTCCTAAGCAATGTATAGCTAATAATCAATCGTGGGTTTCATCCTCAACGGGTCCAACATTTCTCACGTTTTGATTTCAGCCTGAAGATGTCCGAATATCCAGATATAATATGGCTGGTGCTTTTCACCTACCATCAAGTCAACGCCATGCTTGTCTGTCCTTCTCTATCAAAAAATAAATATAATCCTTGATTCCTGTCCCAATAGAGGGCGAACGATACAACGATCAAGCGAACATCTTGACGAACCTTCTGCCTCCTTATTTTTTGAATAACTTATTACAGTAAATAATCCTCGGCATAAAAATGTAACCAAAGCCAATTATGACTAGAATTTTAACTGAATAGTACCCAGTAGAATCGTATGTGTGTTTCAATCGTCAATGTACTTTTTTGAAAAACCAAAAAACTACTGCTAACGCAACAATCCGAGATGTTTACCGTGAATCATGTAACTTGTTGATAGATAGAGATTAAAATAATGTTTAGGGTCAATTGATTCCTTACTGTACCTACTCCAGGTTTCACCTATGCTTATAATGAAGGTGGTCTTAAAAAATTGCCGGCATGTAACTTTTATCGCAGTTCCGTCTCTTTCTTACACGTTAAGTTGCCGAGTGTGCCATCTCGCTCGATCGAGAGTCCGTGACCCACTTGTTCGCTACTAATTCGTAACGATTACAATATTTGTTGTTCATATTGTATTGTTCAATTTCACTTACGTCCGTCCTTGCTTAACTTTAAAAATTTGACATACTTTAATTTCTAGCAATTTTTCCAATATATTGAACTAGAAGCTTTTTTGCTATCGCATCGAAATATTTATTCCAGTTCCCGAAACAAACTTATGTTATGGGATACAGTCTCATAGCTATTTAATATGACGAGGTTTTTTTACGATCTTGTTGGTCTACTAATGGTAGCAATGTATCGCTAATAATCAACGGGTCGACACCCGGGTCCAATACGTGTTTAATGAATGTAGTTTATTTCGGAAACATCTTGGACGCCTGGACATCTGGATATTAAATAGCGTAATTCTGTCCAGGTCACAAACCATCGTACACAGATTAAGTCGTGAAGTTTACTCGCGTTTCGGTTTCACTCTGTGGTTTATCTTATAGCAAAATAGGTCCACCTCGCATCATGTTATAGGGCTGGGTTATTTAATTTTTCACCAAGTGCCTAGCTGTCCTATTCTATCATAAAAAAATCTATTCCCGCTTGTACCATCGAGTTTTTCAACATTTCTTGTAATGTATGTAACATACATGGGTTCTCTTTCTAGGTTTTCAGTTATGTAACTTAAACTGACAATTTACAAACGGGTTGTTTCCACAAAGAGCAATATAGACGCAATAAAATGTCTGAAGCTTGCAGACGCTGCATTGTCTGCGGAGTAAAGACGCGATAGGGAGAATGGAGCTATGTGAACTTAACTAGATAAGTTTTATTCCAATATTAATTATGTAATTTTTATTTAGTGAGGACAGCAAACTAATTTCATTAAAGATATAATACCTTAATTATGAACACTGATAGTGCTTAAAAAACTAATTGCAATTAATGACGTAAATTAATTTTTTTCTTACTAATTAGTAACATAAAAGTAAAATATGTTATACTAGTATATTTAAGAATTGTCTGTAGGTAGACTACAAATTACAGTTTTGAATAAAAACAATATTAACGGTTTTAATCGCGAAATATAGGTACTTGTACCCTCTTGACCACTGCTAATTAGTCTTAGTAATATTTTTCATTAAAAACCGTTCAGTCTTTATTTACACTCCCTAAATCACAAGTAACATACATACAAATCGTTCTTGATTTTAATACGATAATATCATAACAGAGGCTCCTTTGGGTAAAGCAGCAGAATTTAGCTCCAGATCACTCTGAACTTTTTAAGCAGTTTCCACAAACGATTAACCAACATAAATAAATTTGTGTCACCTTCGTCTGAAAATAGAGCGAGACGCTATAATTAGAATGCTAATGAGCGAACAGGACGGGTATACGTCGTTTGCGTGGGATATTTGTCTGGTTATTCGGTTGATCAAATTCACGTATCCTATTTAAATGTAAATAATCGTAGAGATAAACTTATCTTTAAATAATGTAACTCGATTGAATCTTTTATGTACTTATGATTCAAAATGTTTATAAAACGTTACGTTACCTACAGATTTAAATAAAACACTATTGAAATTTTTACTCGTGTTTCCCCGTGACCACGGTTGCTGCAAAGCATCCGAAAAATAATTTTCAAATAGGTTTAACGAATGTATATCGCGTTTTATTCAAATGTTATATAGATTTAAAAAAAGAACATGCGAACGTGGCAACTAGATAATGAGACATGTATGCAATGCCCTAACCGAAACAAGTTGTTGTTTACCTAGGATTCGAACCCAGAATCAGGAATTTAACCATTGATTCACAAAGGCGGCTCGAGGAGAAACCAAACAAATGACTGACTTGGTGCCACCCAAACATGGAATTATCAACTGGTTTCAAAGAATAGTCATTAATCAAAACCTCTACTATGTACATTATCCTTTCCTCGTTGTAAGGCCTTGAATTACCATTAACTGCAACAGCTTACCATATTTTTATGGAAAAAAATATGAGAAGATGGTAAAGATTTCAAACAATGTCACAATGTTTCAATCACAAAAGGAAGCAAGTATTTATTAATTGAAGTCTGTTAAACTGTCCTATAACCATTGATATCTTTATACTAATTTTCATTTTAATCTGGAATTCCCGTGTCACCTAATTTGATTAACTATTCCCAAACCTGCGCGAGCGCACGCCGTATACAACATGGCGGCCGGTATCAAGTATGCGGCTATGTAGGTCACGGCGCTCGTACGAATTTACGAAATTTATTCACCTCGACGCTCGATGGCTCCAGATTTTTATTGTACAATTAGATAAATAGAAATGTATGCAATACTTGGTCGAGCTTGTTAAAAGTTGAGAATGTTGCCACATTCAACTTTCAACTTTGTACAAATGTTAAACTACCTACTTGTAATATATAAATGATAAAGCAATATGTTTGTATGGTTTATTAAAAAAAGCACAATCTTCTTCCGGGCCTTAGCCCATTATCTGGGATCACTCGTCGGGCCAGGTCATTCAGGGTGTCCTATGAGATAGTTGATCACAACTGCTTGCTAATTTTAAAGTTTTAAAAGCGACGCAAAATATCTCTTAACACATTATTACTTCTACTGTAATCGTCGTGTTAGTTATGAACTCGAGAAGAATTTGAAGAGGCTTTATCAATAAAAAAATGATAAATGAGAATAATAATAACGCGAAGAGTTCCGTTATTTAAAGATACGATAAAAAAACAACACAAACAACATTATTTTATTTGGATAACATTATTTTATTTTATTAGGGATAGTCTTGGTAGTAGGGTGCCTTTTAAAGCAGAACCATAAATAACTAGTGGAGAACAATTTTTAGGTACCTTTCGTATTTTGATTATTGTCGTTAATGGAGCCTTGAGAGC